TCAGGCTCTCCTGCATGAGCTTCTCTTAAAAAAAACCTAGGGTCCTAAGGTTTAGGTCAGGGTTTAGAGTTTCTAAAGATTGGGGTCCTATGGTTTAGGGTTTAGGGTTCAGGGTCTTAAGGCTCCCTTGCATGAGTTTCTAAAAAACCGGGTCCCATTATCCCTTCCAAAGCTGTTGCAGTCATGATTCACGGGTTTGGGGGTCAGGCTTTAGCGATTTTAATTAAACCCTAAACCCCAACTCCCTAAACCTCCAAAACAGGAACTCTAAACCCTAAGCCCTAAAGTATCAAAGGAATCCTAAACCCTAAATATGCGGATTAGGGTTTAGGATTTCTTGTTTCCGGGTCACTCCCCCACCCAGTAACGGGTACCACAAGGGACTTTTAAGCCCCTACTAACACCATATTTAGGTATTACTATAGGGGGGATTGACCTACGGGATTTCGGGCTCGGGGCTCTGCACTTCATTACCTTAAGGGTCCAAGTACCTAATAATCATATACTTACCCAAAACCTGTATTATAATTCCTATTACCCTAAACCCTAAGTACCTAATAATTGGGTGCATGGACCCTTAGGGTTCATTAAGGATCAAAGGTTCGGAGGTTATCGTTTTTCTGCCGGATGGAGGCTGCTCCTGGTAGGATTCATTCTCCGGTGAAACAGTTGAGTAGTATTTTATTTGGGGATACTATGGTACCCATTATGGAGTAAGCTTCTGTCCTCCTTTTGGGGTATAGTATTTTATATAAGGTATATTATCTTACTGGGTTCAACCACCAAAAGACACCATTCAGTTGAGATTTAAAATCCTGCAAAGCGCCTCAACTCCCTTGAACGGTTTGTGTTTCTATGTACATGTGCCAGGACCTTCCTAATTAGTACCTTCAGTTGGGGTCTCATAGTGGGCACTTAGGCCGGAATAGAGGATAGTTGGCAGGTGTAAGTAGAGTTTAGATTTCAGGTCTTTAGGTGTAGGGCTTAAAGCTAAAAGTCCAGCATTGCCCTAAGCAGCCAGGGAGCTAAGGGTCCAAGTACATAACAAGCATATATTTACCCAAGACCTGTACTATAATACTATTACCCTAAACCCTACACCCTAAACCCTGAACCCAAGTATCTAATTAATGGGTACTTGGACCCTCTGAGAGGGTTAATGGTATTGGAGGTCAACCAGGAACTCACCTGCAACACTAACAACCAGTCGCACATTGCATTCTAACAGCGCCCTGCACATCTCATACACAATTTGTGAAGGATGTTGTTGGTTCTGCACAAATTTCGAATAGCGGTGGAGATTACTTCGGCAGGAGTGTTGAGTAAGTCTTTTTTTCCGATTTGGGGTCTTAAGTCCTGTATTAAGATAGGCAAGTCCTGTATCAACTAGGCTATACCAAAAAAGGCGACCTTTTTAAACCTTGGTTACTGGGATCCCAGTAATGATTCCTCCTAAGCCATAATTGAACCCTAAAACCCGCAACCCCTGGACCCCTAAAGCCCCTAACAGCTAAACGCTAAAACCCTAAACCCTTAACCCCTAAACCGTTAACCTTATTGTAGAGCATGAAGGGGATTCCGGGGCAGGCCATGGTGTCGTCACGTGCAGTGGTCTTGGTCTTATGTGAGCCATAGAGTCTAAACTCCTTAAAGGCGGGTAAATAGGGGACTGTACAGGGTGTTGGTTTTAGGGTTTAGGGTTTAGAGTCTAAACTCCTTAAAGCGGGTTTCATAGGGGACACTATAGGGTTTTGGGCTTAGGGTCAGGGGTTTAGGGTCTAAACTCCTTAAAGTGAGTTATATAGGCGAGTATAAAAAGGGGTTTCTAGGGGGATAGTAGGAGTTTAGACTATAGCTCATATAAGCGTTCGTTAAACCTGGTCGTTGGGCTACATAGCGGCTTCTACAAAGTTTTTTGACCATAGGGAACTTAGAGTCACCTCCAGTATCTTTGGCCACCATGCAAAAGTAGACACGGACAGGAGTGGAGCCACACCCCAAAATCCAAAACCCTACACCTTACCCCTATATCCCCAAAAATCCAAAGCCCTAAAACCTGAATCTTTTCCACAAGCCTAAGCTCTAAACTTCATTTTGCCAAGCATACCCTGAACCTTGACATGTGAATAGCCTTAGATTAGGCTCCCCGTGGCCACCGATAGTGGTCACAAGGGATAATGAAATCAACGTTTTCAGATATTCCTAGAATACCACTATTTTTGATATTGAAAGTAAAAATCCGGCATGACCTCAAGAATTATGGTCCCAGTGTGGGACCCTAGAATGATACGGCCCAAAGGTTTTTAGGCGACCCCCACAAAGGGATCATATTTTGATCCCTATATACCTCAGCATAGTCCTCTCTCCCAAGTAGAAGCTGAGCGATTCAGAGTTTAGCCCTTAGCCTCTAAACCCTTCACCTGCACATGGGGTTTCTCGACAAAGGGGGCCCCTAGAGACCCCAAATTTATAAAACGATCGTGGAGGATTACATAGAGGTGTTTTCCAGAAATACCCGAATGTTGGGTATTGGGGCTTAGGGTTGCAGGTTTTGGGTGTTGGTCGAAGAGCCAAAACTAAAATGCCTTCTACAACCATTCGAGCTATAGTCTAAACTTCTAGTATCCCACTTAAAAAACCCTATAATACTTCCCTATATATAGCCCCCGTAAAAGATCAGACAACAGCTCATTTCAATTTCAGGCTGTCTGCTGACCACCGTGGAGCCTTAAGCGTGTGTCCAAGCAGCCCCGCACTTCTCCACCCCCTCCCCTACTTGGAGGTTCATCGAACTTAGTAGCAACTTATAACTGGGCTTATAACCCTACTTAAAAATTGCCTTAACTGGCCTTATGGGGGCTACCCTAATTATTAGTAGGGTTATAATCCAAGTTACAAGTAGTTACTAAGTTCCATGAACCTCCAAGTAAGGGTCCAAGTACCTGGGTTATATTAGAGTTATATTGGGATTCCTAGGGTTTAGGGGTCAGTCTACCTGAACCCCAAAAGTATGCAGAATAATTGCCTTTTGGGCTATATTTAGGTGTTTTGGGCTATCATTTTACCTACTTTTGGGGTTTAGGTACCCCTTCGGCTTTCCCCCTAAATCAGGCTTAATTCATTTCAGGGGGTAAGCTCTATGAGGCTCTACACCCTAAACCCTGCAGTTCCCCGAAGCTGATATAACCCCCTTTTCACAGAACGCTAGTCGCGGTAGCACCTTTTTGAGGCTTCTATGTCAGTTTGGCGGAGGATCACGAATCACGCCTAAACTCCAAGTGATCCTAAACTCTGCTAAGCAGGTCTGGAGATCTTGCCGATGCACTAAGCTCGCTGACGGAGGCCGGTACATGGTAGTTGATCAAAATTCCTGTTTTCAAAAATGCAATGTTCGGAGAACACAAGGTTAGGGTTAAGGGTTTAGGGTCTTTCAAGAAAATGAAGAACCTTTAGATCAACCCATGTGGGAGTTCTGGGGTTTAGGAGCTAGGTGGGGATAAGTTCAAGTATATTTGTCATACATCCGGAAAGCACGCTAGTGTTTTCAAAATATACCTACCGGCTTTTACAGGTCTCGTACAAACTCCCTTTTTCTAGGAGGGATATAGCAAGTGGGATCTTAAGCTGCAGGATTTAAGGGACGCAGGCCTATGAATTAAGCCTAAACGCTGAACCCTAAACCTCCGTGCTTATAGCAATCCCTAGAGCTCCCCAGTTACTTAGATGGTGGGCTACAGGGCTATGTGAGCTGCGGACTAAATTTAAGCTGGGGGGGACATATAGGGGACCATATAGGGTTTTGGGGGAGACCCATTAAGGGGTATGCTACAAATTTAGTCCAAGGCTCATGTAATTATAGGGTATGTAGAGCCCAGAACCCATGGTTTACGTAACCGGAGCCCCAGGGAATGTCATGTATGGTCAAGTTAGAACCCAAGAGCCATGGAGGAATGATGTTGGTAAGTGTTAGCCCAAAATCCGAAACCAAAACCTTGAAACCTAAACCCCTACACCCTAAATCTTAAACTCGAATTAAACCCTAAGCCCGTAATTAAAAAGCAGAAGCCCTTGAACTCCTGTGCTGCCTGAAGCTTTGGTTCTCAAGACACTACACCCCAGTTTAGGGATTTGATTTTTGAGTCTAGGGTTAGAGGGGTAGTAATAACAGTTGACAGAAGAAATGCCGCAAGACACTTCCAGTGTCAACCTTTTCAATCTGCCTTTTTTATTCGAAGAGTCATGGATTCTTGCATAAAACCATAGTGGCCCAAACCCAAGCTCCAAAAGGCCCAAACCTCAAGAGCCCTGAACCAGGAGCCTCAAAAGTCCTACACCCTGGACCGTGGACCGTGATCAATCTGTACCGCCCTAAACTCAAAATCCAATTTCAAACTCTGCTTGCAGCCCACTCGTGCTGGACCAAAGCTCATGTCCAGGGCATCTTCAGGGGAGGGTGGGGCGGCGGGGAGTATGCAATGGGAGTACGACGGAAGTGTAGGTGCTTGTTTTTTTCTTGTGGGTGACATACATACATACCTACATACCTACCTAAGTACATGTATATATCGCTATCTATCTGTTTCCATGTTGAGTATGCAAGGCTTACGGAGGGGGCTCCCGCCTGGAAATGTCAGAAATCATCTGAGCTCCCGTCCCAATAGTGGCCTTATTAAGGGACCCTTAAGGGGTTAGGAATTGAGCTATTGTCAATTTTAGCCTTTTTTAAGGGACCCCTCGCAGTGGACATAGGGCCCTCCTTGTTGTTCAGTATAGTCCCTCACATAGTCCCCAACAAGGAACTTATGCCCGTTAGATTAAACAGGAAATTTTGTAGGAAATATTGACTGTAACTCATATGTCATGTCTGTTTGGGGTTAGGGCTTAGGCTCTAGCCTTCAGGAAATGGGTGTAGGATTTTGAGATTTAACGTATTGGATTCAATGTTTTCTGAATAAGGGTAGGACTTCAAGGACCACTGACCATAATCTTTATCTGTTGCCATGCCTGTGCCCTGGTCTTCAAAGAGGCAGCGCATTTACATACCGAACCTGGCGGAACGGGCACTCACCGTCAAACACTTGCGAGAAATACGAACGCTTCTGAAGCGCCTGTGCAAGACGCACATCTTGAAGCGCACCAAGACACAGGAACAGTTGACCTGGCATGATATAAACCTGTACGACGTGACCGATGAAGTCATTAAGCCTGTAATATACTTCAAGGAGCAGGAGTGGAAGCTGCCGCAAGGTACTGAGAAGCGGCAGCGGAAGCTTTGGCAGTCTTTGTTGTGCTCCCCTGCATGCAGTGCCGTCATGCCATCGAGCCCTCAAAGCGCACAAGGCATGCCACAGCTTGCAGAAGGATTTGCAGGGTATTCGTGGGCAGAGTTTGTCAGCGAATCTCCACTCCGGCCGCAGCTGATGGTGAGCCATTGGTGGGGTGGAAGAAGCTGGGTTGCTTTGAAGGAGGTGGGACTAAGTTATCAGCTACTGGATTCATGAAAATGTGGGACCATCTTTAACCCCCTTCCCCCCGCTTCCCTCCTTGCAATAGGGACTCCAGAAACATTGGTTTTAGGCCGCCTCCATACAGACTTACCCTAAACCCTAAACCCTTCTCACGCTTCTGAGGGTTCTTGACAGATTAAAAGAAATGGCCGCCAAACATTCGGCCTCACTCGGGATCCAGGATGTAAAGAGGTGTTGGTTCTGCGAGGGATTTGAAAAGTCCTGCCATTTGCAATCAAAGCCTTAGCCCCCCAAAAAGATACAGGCGTCTGAGGCTGAAAGATTAAAGAAGGCCTCCAGTTCGGGATCTAGAGGCTTGCTGGACTACGTACGCACCTTGCCCAAAATGACTTGGGCTATAAACCCTAAACCCCAACCCATCGGTTTGAATTAGGATTTTAGCAAAGCTCGTCGGCCCCAGGTGTATAGGAACTGGATTATTAACCCTAAACCCTAAAAGCCTGAACTCTGAATCTACCCTAAGGGTCCAAGTACCTACAAATCACATACCTACCCAGAACCTGTACTATAATTATTATTACCCGAACCCTAAGTACCTAATTATTGGGTACATGGACCCTTAGGGCTAAAGCTCTGAGGGCTGGTTTTGAGATTTATAGAGGCCGGCCTCTTGAAAGTCAAAGGAAGTTGAAAATCTACCTCCCAAGAGGGTTTAGGGTTTAGAATTTCGGGTTTAGGGTTTAGGGCCCAAGTACCCAGTAATTAGGTACTTAGGTTTTGGGTAACAGTAACTATGATACAGGTTTCGGGTAAGTATAGAATTAGTAGGTACTTGGACCCGTAGGGCTCATTGTTTATTTGGAGGCTTGGGGGGAAACTTCGTAAGTAGGTTAACAACCCCTATAACCCAGATAGTAACCCTGGTTATCCAAATTATTAACCTACTTACTTACTAAGTCCCCCTGACCCTCCAAGTAGGGCCCGCCAAATCAAAACACATCATAGGGGACCTTCTATCCTTACCCCAGGTCCTGAATAAGTGGGCCCCGGAACACATGATTGAGGGCCTCTTCATTAACACAGCATGGTAACTTGCCTTCGCTTCCTTAACAGCAACCCCTAAACCCTAAACAGCCCAGGATTCAATGACTTCATGACAGCCATCGACAGCATTGTGACTGACCGAGCTTTGAGCATTGGCTCGACCATTTGGGTTTGCACGTTTGCCAACAACCAGTTCGGTGAGGACACTCCCAATAAATCCGCTTGGTTTCGCCAATGTAGTCAGGGGAGCAGTTGCTGGCCGTTCTGTTTCTTTTGGATTTTGTAAGGGGTCTGGGCAACTAGTTCAGTAAGGATGTGTTTTGGGGGGGGAGCTTAGGGCTTGGGGGTCTACGATCTCGAGGCTTTGGGCTTGCAAGAGTTTTCGTTCGGTGAGGACTTGGGTGCCAGCATCATGGAAACCCCTTTCGTCAAGGCCATTGAGTTTGCAGAGGCCACCATCTTAATGGTGGATCGCGATGCCGGATCATTGAAGCGGAGTTGGTGTTGCTTGGAGATCCACTACACCATCAAACTCGACCGAACCTTCGAATTGTACACGTCAGCAGGGCTAGTCGGGTCCACTGCTGTGTCGTCTGGTCCCTTGGTTGATGCTATCTCCCAGTGGGATGTGCGCGAGAGCCAAGCTTCGGAGGTAGCTTACAGAAGGCAGATTCTGAATTTTATCGCAGGAGAGCCTGAGAAGAGTCTCGGCTGTTGCTAAGGAACTTAGACTAAGTTGCTTTTATGATGAATCCTTAATGGTCACCGTATATTCAAGGTATGTTGGTTTTAATCTAAGTTCTTTCACAGCAACCCAGGAGTGGTCTCTTGACAGCAGATGGGACAACTGAAGGGGAGCTTGTGTTGATTGGTGGCCGCCCGCAGCTGGATCACAGCGAGGACAGTCTGCATGGCGAACAAGCACTCTTAAAAAGCCATCACAAGGATTTCGAGACCCTCAACATGGACGTGCGTGTCTCGGTCATTGGTCGCATTGGCCCTCCCAAGAAAGCAAAAGGGTGCGACTTGCCGAATATTTGGCATCGTGGGATTAGTTTGGGTCAGCTCCGTACATTTGCGCGGAAAGCAAGGACGGCGCTCAGCAAACTTTTGCCAGAGGTGCCGTGGGAGAGGATGGCAGTATGGCAAGTGTGCAGGCATTTCATTGTGCCAGAGACAGCGCGCAGAAATTGTTCATACGTGGAGCTTGTGACAGATGGTCCCCAGATTCCGAATATCTACGTTGACTATCAGTTCACAATGTATTTTGCGGACATCATGTCTTCGATTGAATGGTTTGCGGAAGCGATGCGGCTGAGAGACTCCGAGATCGTTTTTTTCAACCTCTTGGGCGTCAATCAGAATGAGAAGGCTCTGAAGACAGAGATGGCTAAATTGTGGATTGACCAAGATCAGCTTATCCTGGACAGGGCGCAGCGAGAATGCCAGTCTTTGCTGGCAGCAACGGGAGACTCTGTGGCAACTGGGTCCTGGGTTTAGGATTCAACGAAATGACTTTGCTAGGTCCTTGAATCGAATTACTCCCCGTGTAGTGTTTTTTCTCATGGTGGTTCTGTTCAGAGGTGTGCCCGGGCTTAGTTCTGCCATGTGATCAGCAGCGGGAAACGGCTAGTTTATTCAGGACAGAGAATGTCAAAGGCGCCGGTGTTGTCCCCGCAAGTGACCTCCGTTGTGGCACTGAGGTCAGTATGGAGACGGGAGCAACAGAGCCTTGGAGCATGTCGCGGGCGTGGCGCCTCTATACGTTGCCTGCTCTGAAGTTCCAGTTAACCAGAATAATGAGCCGAAGGAACCCAAATACTCGAGGACAATATCTCCCGCGGTCTAGCTTAAGAACCCAGCAAGATGAACCATCATGATCATATTGTTACTAACGAGTTTTTCGTAGTCATTAAATGGTTGTTGCTGGTATTGCTGATTTGCTGTTGCCAGGTATTTTCCTGTTGTTGGTGTCTTGGCGGCCCGGGTGCTGCACCAGCTAACCTCTGAGCCGTAAGCGCTATACCAAATGGGCGTGCAGAATAAAAACTATATGCAAACACCCCGTAGCAATTGCTTGAGGAATAAAACGCGATTTGAGGTGAGTAGGTTTCCTGCGTATAAGCCGCATGTGTCCCTTATACAGCGCGCACCTCCTATTGTCACCGTATAAGGTGTATACTGTCAGGGCAGTTACTAGGTAGCTGACGGTACATAAAGCTTAGATATAGTATATCTAAGCTTTATGTACCGTCA